GGATTACTTTGGTCAACGTGCTGTGGAAGATCTAAGTTGGGCTACTCGCGGACTACTTTGGTGAGTGTGCTGTGGAAAGGCTAAGCTACTCAGGGACCACTTTGGTGAGTGTGCTGTGGAAAAGCTAAGTTGGGCTACTCAGAGACCACTTCGTGAGTGTGCTACTAAGAACTGTGGTTGCTGTGGAAGAGCTAAGATGAGCTACTTAGAAATCAGTTTGTGAATTTGTGGAAAAGCTAGGTTTAGCTACTCAGGGATCAGATTGGTGAATGTGGTGTCAATACTTAGAGGTCGTTTTGGTGAATGTGCTGTGGAAGTGCTACGTTGAACTACTCAGGGATTACTTTGGTGAACAAGGATCACTTTGGCGAGCGTGCTGTGGAAGAGTTAAGTTGAACTAGTCAGAGATTACTTTTGTGAGTGCGCTGTCAAAGAGCTACGTTGAACTACTCAGGGATTACTTTGGTGAACAGGGACCACTTTGGTGAGCGTGCTGTGGAAGAGCTACTTTGGGCTACTCAGGGACCACTTTGGCCAGTGTGCTGTGGAAGAGCTAAGTTGCGCTACTCAGGGGCCACTTTGGCCAGTGTGCTGTGGAAGAGCTAAGTTGCGCTACTCAGGGGCCACTTTGGCCAGTGTGGTGGAAGAGCTAAGCTGGGCTACTTAGGGACCACTTTGGCCAGTGTGCTGTGGAAGAGCTACTTTGGGCTACTCAGGGACCACTTTGGTGAGTGTGCTGTGGAAGAGCTACTGTTGGCTACTCAGGGACCACTTTGGCCAGTGTGCTGTGGAAGAGCTAAGTTGCGCTACTCAGGGACCACTTTGGCCCGTGTGCTGTGGAAGAGCTAAATTGCGCTACTCAGGGACCACTTTGGCCAGTGTCCTATGGAAGATCTAAGTTGGGCTACTCAGGGGCCACTTTGGTGAGTGTGCTGTGGAAGAGCTAAGTTGAGCTACTCAGGGACCACTTTGGCCAGTACGCTGTGGAAAAGCTAAGTTGCGCTAGTCAGGGACCTCCTTGGCCAGTGTGCTGTGGAAGAGCTAAGTTGCGCTACTTAGGGACCACTTTGGCCAGTGTGCTGTGGAAGATCTAAGTTGGGCTATTCAGGGACCACTTTCGCCAGGATGCTGTGGAAGAGCTAAGTTGCGCTACTCAGGGACCACTTTGGCCAGTGTGCTGTGGAAAAGCTAAGTTGCGCTAGTCAGGGACCTCTTTGGCCAGTGCGCTATGGAAGATCTAAGTTGGGCTACTCAGGGACCACTTTGGCCAGCGTGCTGTGGAAGAGCTACTTTGGGCTACTCAGGGACCACTTTGGTGAGTGTGCTGTGCCACTTTGGCCAATGTGCTATGGAAGAGCTAAGTTGCGCTACTCAGGGACCACTTTGGCCAGTGTGTTGGGAAGAGCTAAGTTGGGCTACCGGGCGTGCTGAAGTCCAAAGTTCTAAAAATCTAACAACCCCACAGTCCTACGGGTGGGGAAAAATCTGAGCATCCACACGCAAGTTGTGAAGTGCTCTGCCAGCAGCTTCGCCCGCGCCAACGGCAACAGCCGCCACCGAAAAAAAGAAACGGCTTGATAAGTACATTACAACTCTACAACTATCCTGGGATCACTTCGGTAAATGTGCTGTGGAAGAGCTACGTTGCGCTACTCAGGGATCTCTTTGGCCAG